CTCCAATCAGTATTAACAAGGGAGTATAATCTGCTCCCATACATATATCTACACCACTTCCCTGGCACTCCTGGAGGCTCTACTCTCAAAGATTCCCCATCCTTCCTGGCACTCCAACTCTGCACAAACCAAACCTGCAAGTGAGGCAGTGAAACTCCCCTGCCTCCTGCCCCCCACCTTCTCCTCTCAAGATTTCTGTCTTGAGAATGACAATGGAGTTTAAAGTATGCTTGAGAGAAGTGACTTCAAGGTTCCAGTCAAATAAGAACTGCATCTCCCTTGTGACTAGATAGAGCTTTCTCAGATTAAAGTGTGAATCCAAGTATGGCAGGGGGCTGTCCTGAGGCCAACCTCTGCGTCAGCCTACCCAGCTGTCTTTGGCAGTCCTCCCACCTATCTCTCCTGCCACACCTTGTTAGTAAATAATTAAGTTGTTCATTAGGCGGGAGGCTGCCCTTTGTGTGCCCACCTATACCGGGTGGTGTATACGTGCTCCAACCTCCCCTACATATCCCATGCCTTGCAGGTGTTACTACCATTATCGACTCTATATGCCCCAGGCATTGAACCCTCTGGCTCCTGTCTCTCTGCAACGTGCAGGCACCATGTTCTCTACTGACTGGCTTTCTGTGCCCCTCTCTCAGATGCCTGACTCTGTGCCTCTCTCCCAGGCACCTGGTTTTGCACCCCCATAGCTGCACCCCTCCAACGCTCTGCGCTTGCTGCACCCGACACTGGGCTCTACCAAATCATATGCTCTCTTTCTCCAGGCACTAATCAGGCCTCCAAACCTTCCCTTCGAGCTTCATCCCAATCCTCCAGGGTAAACATGAGAACAAAACACAAGCCCCTAAGCTATAACTTAAATACTACACAATAACAATAGTGCTATGCCCCTTTAAGGGAACAAACTTCCACTCAGAGTAATGTACCCCTATCCTAGGTACCTGGGAGACTACCTGTAGTCATGTAGCATCTAGATAGCAGAGCAGGCAGTACTGGAAGAGTTAGGCAGGCAACACTGGGTCTCAAGTAGCTTCAGCAGGCAGAAGTTCCTTCCCTATCAGTTGCCAGAGAGAGAATGTGCATCTGCTGGCTACAGCCTGGTCTTATATATCCCAGAACCCTGCCTCCTGCCAGTCAGGTGATGTCAGCAGGTATGGCCAATTACTTCCTGAGGCTGTTACCCTGACAACCTGGAGCTGGGGAGCTCTGCTTGGCCTGCTGAGCTCCCTGGCCAGGCTTCTTCAGCCATAAGTAGAAGGCACATCTTAGTGCCCTGCTACACCAAGTTTCAGTATATCTTTGAAAACAATGTTTGACATTAAGGTATTGACCTGTTTCCCTAGACGTAATCCAGCTAAAGCAGCACTGCATTTTGCCACTTACTGGAAGCATCTACATGTGCATTAATGGGTCTTTTCTAATGCACATTAAATTTAGTACATTCAATGCAAGGTACATCATGGTTTTTTGGGATGTTTAATGTGCAGTAGACTATTTTACTACACATTAGTGTAATGTCGCTTTTTCATGTGATGGTTTAATATGCAATAAAATAGTCTATTGCACATTAAAGCACATGTATAGACATGCCCACTGAGTCAGATGCAGTAGACTACCTGCCCTATGCATTGTGCACTATTAAAACATGCATATATAGCATCTCCCTGGATCAACTCACCTAGCCACATATCACTTTGGAAGGTGACGAAAAAGAGGGAGCTTTGCTCTGGAACTGAAGCAGTGGTAGCAGTACTACAGGTACTGCGGTAGCCGCAAACAGCCCCATTGGTTCTGGCCCTACTCTAGTAGGCATTGTACACTGACATAAAGGCAACCCCTGACCCACCAAGCTCAAAATCTATGTAAGATCTTATGATGGGAACGAGGCCAGGCTCAAAGGGGATACCAGAAGCCAATCAGAATATGTAAGCAGGCACTTCCTAGTGCATTCTGTTGTGAACTTGAAAGTGCTATTTGTCAAGGAGTCAGAGAGAAGATTTTGCTGTTAGAATAACATGCACGGAGTTCAGACTTTACCCATAAATGACTGGAAGGTCCTTCCCACACTCATTCCAATATCAGGAATTCCAGTGATGTAAATAGAATCACACCAGTATAAAACCAGTGTGAATCCAGTCCAAAGTCTCTAGCTGATTTGTCTGGTAACTGGAGTGGGACAGGAAATGTTTTTTTTTCCAGCTCTCAAAAGTTGTCCTATTCCACAGCAGGATGAGACTGAAGGACTGTCTACACTCAGAAGTAAGCATTCAAAAAAAATGATGATGTGAATTTATAGAGGGTTAGCTACTCTGCACTAATATCTCCCGAGTACACTCTGAAGAATTACTAAATGCACTCCTGTGCCTGCAGAATTCACTCTCAGTGCATTTTAAAGGTGTCCATAGGGGAAGGTAGTGTGGAGTAGCCAATTACATTAAATTCACACCCTGGCTTCCTGCACACAAACTTTCTTTTTAGATAACCCAAGACTTTTCTAAGATTTTCATAAAAAAGCAGAACGAACATAAGAGATCCTCCCCTACCCAGTTTCAAGTCCCTATTCTGTATGATATGTCTCAAGGGCTGGTACCTCAGTATCCTATGCAAGTCCTCTAAGCATTTGGTGGCTGACTATTTGGGAGCAAGTGACAGTCTCTTTTTCTTTGGTATTGATCAAAAAGTCCACATTAGGGCTAAGAACCCTTTGCAGCAAGTCTTACACTAACACTGAGGGCCTTGTTACATATTACGGTGAGCTGCTTAAATGTGGATCGGTGCCAGTGCTAGCTCGAGTTTGGAAGGTCACACGTTCAGGCCAGCAGGGACCTCGAGGACTGAAAGGTAAGAATCCCACCTGCCTGCCTATTCCAGGCTTCTCCCCTGCCTCCCAGGGCTCTCCCAGTTCTCCCCTGCACCCCTCCAGATTCCTCCTGTTCCTGGGAACTCCCCCTCACTCCTTTACTTGTGGCTGCCTGCAGCTGCCCTGGAGGAGCAGGCAGGAAAGCATTAACCTGCCTGCCTGACCACTGCTAAAGCTGCCAGGATGATGCTCTTCTCAGGCTGACCTCACCCAAAGAGCAGCAGCCGGTGGCTGGGCAGAAGTGTTAACCCTTCTCTGCCTGCTCCCCTGGAACAGACAATGCTGGCAGCCACAAGTGGTGGTGGGGGGTGGAGTGGGATGGGCAGTGAGCAAGGATTGAAGGTGCTGGGGAGGGCAGCAGGCCCAATCCAGGTCAGTGAGGTGGGGGGTGGCTGGGGTATTTACACTATGATGAGCCTAGAGTCAGGGTCAGGCAAAGTCCATCACCTGGGCTGGATCCAGCTGGCAGTGGACTCCATTTCCCAGCAGCCCCTGCCCATGTGGCTGGGGCCATTTCCATGGGGACCCCATTAGCAGCTGTGCTGTGATAGCACAGGGCCAGGGTTTCCATAGAGACCAGCCCCAGCAGCACCAGTAGGCAGCACCAGCACCAGCACCAGAGCCAGCCTTTTCTGGTAGGGGTTGCTATGCTGCAGGCAGGAGCAAAGCGGGCTCAGCTGCCACCACCTATGCAGGGCAGGCAGTAGTGGCAGCGCTCCTGGGAGGAGTGGCTATGGGGAATTTTGGGGTGGCTATAGCCCCCCTAAACCCTCCCCCAGAACCGCCCCTGCTAGGGTGCCTGGCAGAGCGGGGAGCTCCTCCGGGGCAGCGTGGCAGTGACAGTGTGGTCCAGAGCCAGGGCAGAGTTGTGATCTGCAGCCTGCATACCCACAGCAGGAAGTGGATTGCCCTGCCCCAGCTCGAGACCACAAGATCCCAGCCCAGCCCTGGAACAGCTCTGCACCCTCCTGTGCACCCTGCCAGCACTGCTGGGTCTGGTCTCCTTAGCAACCCCAACCTCTGCACCTCATCATAACATGAACTGGGTAACATGGATCAGACATAATCCTGCCCTGGAGTGATGCAACTTTGAGCTGCCTAATGAGAGCTTAAAATCAGCTTCAGATGTCAATGGACAGACAATCCAAGTGTTAAGAACTCTAGGTATAACAAAACTACTATGTAACAAGGCCCAGAAAGATTTAGTTTCAACAAGGTGGCATTTCCCAGTAAAGAAGTTGAACTGAAAAAAATTCCTAACCAGCTCTACTGGTAATTTTATGCAAGGCAATGGTTTGGAATATATTGAGAATGTTACTTCTAAAAGACCAAATGAAAAGCCAGCATGTCTTTTTTTTTTTTTTTTTATACAAACGGGGCTAGTTAGCAAAAGAAGTTTTAAGTTTTGTACGCGTTTTGCATGCTACTTGTAACCATGGACATACAAATAGAAGGAAAAATAGGAAATGGAAAACATTTCTTCACCATTTGAAAGATAACTTGACTACTCAAATCATCCCCTAAAAAGACACGGTGAAGATAATGAATAATATAGCAGGCTATACATAAGCTACTGCATTTTTATAAGGAACAGTAGCACGAAGTTTTAATAAATGTGTTCAGGCTGTTTTCAGACTCCTGTAGCACTAATATGCAACCTAACATCTTTCACTTACACCATATACATTTAGGAATCAATATCAGTGGAGTAGTAGCAATAGTAAAACAAGAGAAAAATCAGGCTCTTTGCATTTAGAGCAATACTAAAGTTAAAATTGAGTTGTAACACATGCAGGTTATTCAACAGCATCCGTGGAAAATAAAATAGATACCCCAGAGTGACTGTATTTATGCCGGCCAAATTCTCAGATGGCACAAGTCCAGGGAGATGTGCAGTTTACAGCAGTTGAGAAACTGTCCTGTAAAGCATCTTTTTAGTTACCGGGATGTCTCTCTCAAACCTATAACAATTCATAGCTCATGAGTGTGAAGCCAAATGCCAGGCTACATGGATGGCTTCAATAGCCATCATCATTTAGAGAGGCAAATCCACTAATTTTGCCAGCCCTGGTTTAAAGTGATAATAAACCCGACCTCTGTAAACTGAATGAAACTGACAGCTCATTTGGATTACCGTTTTCAGTGGAAACACCACCTGCAGCGTCTTCATATTTCAGCAGCTGTTTGTGCGTCATTTTCACAGCATTACCAGGGCCAATCTCCCCACAGTTTTGCAATGATTACACCATACTGGTTAGAAACCTGCAGAGGTAAATTGGTACAACGCTCGGGAATGTGGCAGCACTTATGTCAGGGTAAGGGCCTTGTTACATGGTCGTTTTGGGCAGCTCCTGAAGCTCTTCCACCGGTGGACTGTTTGCGCATTAACACCTGAAACCGGTTTTAAGCACTCCTTGGGCGGCTCGCAGCTTTGCCACTCCGGGGCAGGATTCTCTCTGATGCATGCCACCCAACTCCTGTAAGATAACACTTGCCACTCCAGGCACCTTAGCGCAAACACCCTGTCCACCCTGCTGCTCCCGAGCTGGCCCACATCTGCCCTCCCAACACGCCTGATCCCAACTCATTGCCCGCCTGCTTACTTGTGGCTGCCCACACTGTGTCCCCCAGGGGAGCAGGCAGGGAAGAGTTAACCTGCCTGCCAGGTCACCACTGCAGCCAAGAGCAAAGCAGCAGCCTGGCAGGGACCAGGCAGCCAGCTACAAGCAGATGGGAGTTGGGGGAAGACCTGGGGGTAGGAGGGAAGCCTGGAGCGGGGAGGATTTTTACCTTGCACTCCTCCCAGCCCCTGCCGGCCTGAATGCGTTTCAAACTCCAGCGAGGGCTGACACCCGGCGACACCGCTGTGGCCACGGCCCCTGAAGCGCGCTCGGGCTGCGCAGCGGGCAGGGGCTGCCCTCAGAAGGGCTGGGGCGTCGTTACGAGAGACCTGGCTCCAAACACGGGGGCGGGAGAGGAGCGCCGGGGCCGGGGAAGGAAGCGGCCACCCCGCTGAGGCCAGCGCTGCCGGCAGGAGCACACCCCGGGAGAGGCGCGGCGGCTCCGTGAGGAGGAACGTCCTCACTCGGGCTCGGGGGAGGCGGGACGGGGCCGCC